CTCTCAGGCTCTCAATGATGGACCTTGTGGTTGCCATGGCTCCCTCTGTCGACACGGCCACCATGACTAAAACATTTGAGCTGATTAGGCCGTATTTAGAGGTAAGTGTCAAACAGTGCGCTTAACGGCCTGTCCACAGTTTCAGTTCAAATATTTCTTGTTAACTTTGTGTCTGTTGCTTTCAGACCAAAGAGCCAGGCATGCAGAAGAAGGCGTACCGTGTGCTGGAGGAGATGTGCGGAGAAGAGAGAGAGGAGTGTAGGTCGTTTGTTGTGGCTAATCTGGAAACACTCAAAGTTGTCCTGCTCGAGACTCTGAAAAACGCCTCTTCGCCAGCAAAGAGGGTGAGGCTGCCGTGTTGAGGGATATAAAATAAACCAGACTCTAGATGGGATTGTATACCTTGATTTACAGTGCTGTCTGATCGTATATTTCTGTTTTTTTTATTGCGGTTTCTCAGCCGAGACTGAAGTGTCTGATCCACATCGTGAAAAGGCTCAATGAAGAACACAAAGACTTTATCACCGCACTGCTGCCAGAGGTACAAACACAAATAAGCGCTGGCAAGCACACACAACACAGCACAGTACTGACATTTATCACCTTCATGAGGCTGTTGTCTCTTTCAGGTGATTATATGTACCAAGGAGGTGTCTGTCGGAGCTCGTAAGAACGCCTACAATCTGCTGGTGGAAATAGGAAATGCATTTATCCGCTTCTGTGGGAACACAAAAGGTAACACACTTTTGTTGTGTATGTTTGGAAATAAGTTTCTCATTTTAAAGAGTTGAGAGGTGGACCGTGAGGGTTTAAAGTACTAACTGAGTATCTCATCCAGATGCCATGGACCAGTATTTGGTGTTGGTGTACGCAGGACTCACGGGCTCCGTCACCATGATCACCTGTACAGTGTTGGCGTTAACCCGAATAATGTTTGAATATAAAGGTAGGCCCGCTCACGTTCCTCCCGGTCTTTTTGGATGCTTATATTTGTGGACCGGTGGACTCAAGTCTGGTGCCTTTTCTTTCTCAGACGCTATAGACGCGGACACCAGGGAGCAGCTGCTGCACAATATTTGTCTGCTGCTCTCGTCTCGTACCAGAGAGATAGTCAAAGCCGCCTTGAGCTTCATCAAGGTCATCCTCTTCATCATGGACCCTAAGATGCTGGCATCACATGCCACTGTCATGGTAAGCATCAGGATTATAGATGTTTGACTCCACTATATGAGTTAGCTGTGCCCTCTTTTAATACAGACCTCACTTTCTGTCTTGTGTTCAGATGGAGGGCGTTGGGAGCATCAAAGATGATGTGAGGAGGCACTTCAGAACCAAACTGAAGAACATCTTCACTAAGTTCATCAGAAAGTTTGGGTACGTGCTGGTTCTCTTTTCTTTTTTATATACTATAAGCATCAACTGGGCATCATTCACCTAACTTGTGCCTCTGATTAAGATAAAGTGGCGTGTAATACAGCAGTATCACTAAATCCCTTTTAATTGAAAGACAAGTTACTGTATATCAGCACAGAGTTATTAAAATTGAATTTGTATGTATCATTTTTAAGTGTCTCTTCAGATTTGTATTCTTAAAAGAACTGAACAGAATTGAACTGATTGATTTCTGTGCTGTTTTTGATCAGTAATTGATCATCAGGGATCCATCTGGTTTGATTTTTTTGTTGGTTTGTCTACTACTAGTTAACCAAAACAGTTTTGTTGTAAACACAACTGATTAAGCACTCTCCAGTGTAATTATTAGATGATGTTAGTAATAATATAATCATATGCTAACAAAGGGATGCTTTGTTTAACAATGGCACCAGCTGTTTGTTGAGTTGAACACAGCTGACTCCTCTTACACTGATTGTTTGGGAATAGAGTTTAGGGCTGAAAATAAGATGCTTCCACATGTCCACATTTTTGTGCCACTCTTTTGTATCTTTTTTTTTTTTTCCCTACCTCCACCGGTCACTGTAGCATTGTGTACGCTTGTGTGTATGTGTCTGATTATCCGCTCTCCATTTCCAGTTTTGAACTTGTGAAGAGCATGCTGCCTGCAGAACACCACAAGGTGCTTGCAAACATCCGCAAGGCTGAGGCTCGCACCAAGAGGCGGAAACAGGCCTCAGAGCAGAAGGACGACTCCGAGAGCGAAGAGGAGGCACCTAAAGTGAAGAGCAAGAGGTATACCGCTTACCCTCAAACACAAAGTCCTCTCTTCCCTAATACATATTCCTAATTTCCTCCTAAATAACGTTCTGTCTTCTCCTCTCTAGTATTGAGGAAATCCTTGCAGAATCAGACAGTGATCTGTCGGAGGACGAAGGAAAGGCCGGTAATGCTCAGAAGAAAGCAGGCAAACCGCAGAAAGGACGGGCCTGGCTCAAAGAAGGAGAGGAAGATGACCCTCTTAACTTCCTGGATCCCAAGGTTTCCCAGAGAGTGTTAGGTAATAAATAGTTACTGTAATCCTGCATTTTAAATTTGTCAAGAAAAAGAGCTCACTGTATTGTGTGGAGGTTATTTGTTAACATGGTTTTTGTTGTCTCTCAGCCACCAACCCCTCGCTGAAAAAGAGTGCCAAGGTTGAGCACGGCTTCAAGGTGACATCAGATGGACGGCTGATCATCAGAGAGGATGAAGAGGAGGATGGAAAAGGTTAGAGTAAATCCTGTAGTTCATCCAGCTGTCTTCTTACTTTGCTTTATTTATGAACAGGCTGTGACAATAACCCATTATTTTTCCCACAGATGAGGGAGAGATGAAAGATATCCTGGAAGAGGCTGGAGTCAAGAGTGTGAGTACTTCTATATGTGAAAAAGTAATTATGTAGCGCTATCTCGACATTTTTGTTTCTGATTTTCATTAATTATCTTTTTTTTTTTAATAACTTTCAGAAAAAGACACAAAAAAGGAAATTCCAAGATGGCAACTTTGATGAGGACATGGACATTGAACCCCAGCTAAAATATAAAGGTATGGCTGGTAGCAAACACCCTCAATGAATAGTAAATTCATTCAGTATTAGTAAATCAGATTATAGATGGCCTGAGGTATAGGCAAGAGTGTAAGATTACATTCAACCAAACCAAAAGCATCATGTCCATTACAAATTTAGACTAAAAAGCACTTCTTTTTTTTTTGCTCTCAGCCGGGGGCTCAGGTATCCACAGACCCCTGGGAGGAAGGGAAGACACTGGTTCAGACTACAAGTCAAAGGTGAGTCCAACAGCATGTAGAAACACCACTGCAGGAGTTGTTGGTTAGAAACTGTAATCCTTAATGTTTATTCTTTCATACTGTGTCTCTCAGAAAGGAAAAGGAGATGTGAAGAAAAAAGGAAAGCTTGATCCTTACGCTTACATCCCTCTGAAGAAGGCCCAGCTCAATCGCAGGTATTGGAAACATTTTTGTCATCGTAGAATTTCATAAATGTCTCTGAGGACATTGGTTTATATACAAGATTGTCAGACACTAACGTGTTTTTATTCGTGTGTTCACAGGAAACGTGCCAAACTGCAGGGCCAGTTCAAGGGCATGGTGAGAGGAGCCCAGAAGGGGGCGCTGTCTGGAAAGAAAATGCAGAAGAGAAAGGGGAAAGCCTGAAGAACATACTTATATTACTCAATGGACTTTAAATACGATGTGTGTGTGTGGTGGTGTGTTCATAAACATACTAAAATGTAGACATACACCTTGGATATGTGTGTGTGTGTCTGTCTGTGTGTGTCTGTCTGTGTGTGTTTCTGACAGTCATTGAAGGTGAACCAGTTTGTTTTTAAACTGTTTCCATCTCTGTAAGCTCCAGAAATGTGTAATGAGTAACGTCAGACAGCTTTCTCAACAGTCAGTATCCAGTGTGCGTTGAATGTGCCATCCCTGCCTTGATGGATATTGACAGACTAAATGGAATCGCTGTCAAAAATAATCACCCAACTGTGATTTTTTCACAGATGCATCTGATAAAACTCTCCCTTTTGATCGATATAAAAGATGTATTTATGTGTAAACATTTTCTAGATATGCAGACAGACAATAAGACTGGTTTGGGAAGAGTAATGCCTGTTTGTTATTGCGTTATTTTGTCACTGGAGGGAGCTGTTGTCTTCTGGTTTATTAACAGTGCATAAGAGCATTCATGAATGCATTTAAAGATGACTTTAAATATACATTTTCAGAGCTGTTATCGCACTGTAAGGTTTAAATCCATATTTTCCTCTTTAACAATTTCCGTATGAGAAACTTGCAGTTATCTCCAGCCTGCGATTAGGTTTTCATGCGACAGTGTGCCTTCAATGCAGCTCCTTAAAGACACAGAGAAAAGGGGCTGTAGGTTGTTGTTGTGCAGGGCGAGTTAACATACCATTAGCCTTGTGTGATTCATTTCCCGGGATGGATTGCAGCAAAATGAGTCATGTAGTGACAGACTGACCTCCTAATTGCACTCTTTTGTGTCTAGACTCAGTGTCAGTGTTTCTGAGAAGGGGCGTTGATGTCCTGAACTGATTCAGGATATGCTCAGATCAGGCACCATCAGTGCTGAGGTATATAAAGTCACTTCAGAAACTATTCAGGCTACTTCATTTTTTTTTGCACTCTTTATTGTCTCCATAAGTTTATTTTTTTTTTAAGTTCACTGCAGGATGTGGAAACAAGTAAGAAAAGATATATATCAATGCAGTGAATGTGACTTTGAAAGCATACAAAAGCAACTCTTTAAGAATTTAGTATTAATTTTGCAGACTACCTATAAAAATGTCATTGATAGGTTATTATTGTCCTAATACCCTAAGTGTAATTAGTTTAATTAAAACATCACCAAATGTTTCATCCTGCAATATCCCATTAACTAATAAATATGCTATTAGGTTTCTGTTGCGCTGACCTCAATGTGTTTGTAAGCTGATTTGCAATATGACAGAGCAAAAAAAGTCTAATTGAAATATAATGCCATATTTTTGTAATAACTATGTAAGAAATCACTGCCAACCAGCACATAAAAAAACCCATTTTCTTTATTGAAGACAGACACAAAAGGTTATTAATAAAGAAATAATGCAAATGATCATTTCAGTCAGTAAATGCAGTATACAGGAGAACCCTGAAGATACAAACTTTCAATGCAAACTTTCACTTGAAGGTGCAAATGAGACCACAAATACATCAGATTTCGTGCCCCAATGCTTCCTTATATCCACCTCGATCTTACCCTCCCTCAGAGATTGGAAAACCCAGAAACCCACCTGATACTAAATAGAAAACAGATGCAGACAGGGCTTTTATTACAATAAATAAAGTATGGAGAAACTGCCCTGCAGTTACATTAAGGTCACTGAACTCTTGCACTAAATTTTAACTAGGATGTAGAAAAAGTTTCTTTGGTTGAAAAGCTAAAATGATGAATCAGTGATTTGTTGCACCCTAGATAGTAAATGTTTAAAAACCAAAGCCAACATAACCAACATTATCTTTCACTACATGCTGTATTTTTATCACATCCTGGTTCAACATTATTATTCTCCACAAACCCAAAGTAAACATGTCTACTTACCGTCAGCATTCATGCACAAACAGTCACAATCTAACTTTCAACAACACATCGATCCTTTATGTTGAATTACCAGAAAGAATTGCACTTACTCTTACCACTTAAATCAACATGACTTCTAATACTGTACATACAGGCTTAATCAAGTAACTACATGCTTGTCTTTTCTATAATGTTTCTATAAAAATGTTATCTTTGATGAAACTCAGTAGCTGATTTGGATATCAGATAAATATTTTCTTGCTGTCCAGCAACAAAGCACAGAGCTTCCAGTCAGAGCTCCTGCCTTATAAGATTTTACACCTCTTTGCTGCCTCAGTCTTTGGGGTGAAAGGAGGACATATTTTTATTTATGGAACAACTTGATGTTCTTCATTGGATGCTCTCTCTTCAATCATCAGAGCCTGGGTGGGGGTCGAGATGGCGGAGGCCCTGGAGGCCCAGGGGGTGCACGAGTTGGGGGTGGACCTGGAGGGGGTTGGATCACAGAAGGTGGTGCGCGGGAGGGTGGCGTGGTGCGGGGCCCTCTCGACGGAGGCTTTGTACGGGGGACCGAGTTGGAGACAAGAGGTCGCTGTTCGGCGGGTGGAGGAGGAGGACGTGAGGGAGAGTGATGTGTGCGAGGCGGAGCCTGGTGGTTCGGGGTGGAGTCCCCATCTTTGACTCGTTGGAAACTAATACAGCGACCCTGCAAGACACACAGGCAGGCAGACAAAAAGGTTAAACCACAACGGCGAATCATCATTTCAAGGCAGAATACAGATTAAAAATCCAGTGCGCCTTCGTGCAAAAGTCAATGAGCTTCTAAGATCCACCCGCCAAAGGGGTTTGTGTGAGTCTCTGCCTAGCTCTGCTGACAGAGGCATGTGTGTTAGAGGCCCCCAGAGGACACACAGAGCTGCTTCTGTCTTCTGTCCACACCTGCACTACAATAGCTGTGATGCCAGCAAAGACATGCACTGACAAAGTTATCACACACACACACACACACACTTTTGCTGGCTGCAGCTTTCCCCATTTCCCCCTCCTCTTTTGTAGGAGCCTCTGCTGTGACTCGGCCTCTCTTGATGCAGAACAGAAAGTGGTTTATGTCTCTTATGTGCTTGACTTGTTAGAATGTAAAGGGGGGATTTCAATATCCCCACAATAGTTAACAGAGGCCCCTTAGCGTTTAACATAATTTACAAGTCCGGGAGAATGGAACGCTTCTCTTATTGTTCTCATTGATAGTTTGCCTCTCTGTTCCCTGCATAGCATCCTTCTGCAGACACACACACACACACACACACACACAAACAAACTCCTGTCATGCTCAGTCAGTGTGTGAGGGATGGAGAGTAGGTCTCAGTGTCACAGACCCTTGGTGGTCTGATTATAACACCTTATTAAACAGAGAGGCCCTAAAAGTCACACAGGGGCCAATAAGAGGACCCCAGCAAGAGTAGCTTTGAGACTGAAGGAGCCATTGTGTGTATGTGGGTGTGTGTGTGTATATGAGGGGTACGTAATTGATTAGGGGGCAGCCTGGTAGGGGGGGTGACTGCTTCGGTCTTGTCGCTGAGGCCGCGGTGAAAGGGCCAGTTTGTGAGCAGCAGAGCAGCAGCACAACACCAGAGACAGCATATGGACACAATGAGAGCACAAGCTCATGAATATGAGTGTGTTTGTGTGTGTGTGTGTGTGTGTGTGAGTGAGTGTGACTGTAAGCATGCATCCGCCAGAACATATGGCCTGAATGAAACCTCAGCCTCATGAATAACAGAAACAGAGGGAGAGAAAGGTTAGGGGGGTGGTTGCAAGTTAGCAAAAAGAAACACAACTGGTGTTGAAAAGAGCAGCGGAAAAATGGAAAAAAAGATTATTACACCTTTTTAGTAGTTGATATGTACATAGATGAGTTGTGTGAGGTCAGCAGTGTGTTGCTTGTGATGGTCAGTCACCCTGTGTGCCCCTTTGGCTGTAATGTCTGTCAATGCTTTACTTCCCCTCATGGCGATTGTTTACTTCAAACCCTCAACTCCTTTTTGGGAGAAAAACAAAACCCTAAAAACACCTCCAGCATCCCTCTTCACACCAATCTTGTCTAGCCTCTCTTTCTCCCTCTGAGCCCCCAAGACTTTGCCTTTCCCTCACAAACACATACTCACACACACACACACAAAGCAGATACTTTGTGGCCGTTTACAGGGAACTGATGCACGCACACATTTCTCACCATTATAGTAAAGAAAATGGGAGAAAGACGAGAGAGTGGAGACGCACATCTGACCTGACAGCTCTGCCTGTCACCTCGCATGACATTTCAGCGATCCACTCGCATAAGGAAAATGCACTGTGTTCTCGCATTTCTTAGTCTATGCTGCTCTCAAATGTGGAATTCATAGATAATAGTAGCAGGATCACAGATCAGAAATTGGTAGATTGGGGATTAAAGGGTTGGTTTATCAAAATTAAACAAACATCTACATCTTGTGGCCTCCGGTAGTTTACTGGTTATTGTGACA